GGCAAAACATATGCTAAGCATTATCTTTTCGCCATATTTAGCCAAATCCTGTAAACGAGGCTGGGTGTAAATTGAAGCGCATGCAACTGAACTTTTCTTTACATAATTTCGTAAAAGAAAAACAACACGTATTCCTTTCTTTGAATTTGAAATCTAACAATGGAAATTACTGTCCCATCCTGTAGTATTCCGCATCCGCGTAAAACAGAATTCTCTGCTGGCTGAGAAATGTTGGATGCACTCGTTCTCAAGATACGGTTCCATGAACAAGCCAACTAATCCCGCCAAGAAGCCCCCGATTGCGTTACCCACAGTTAGCAGTCCCAGGGCGAACTCTCTCTCCTCGGGCGTGGTGTACCGCGCGACGGCATGGGGTGAGTGGAGGACAATCATACCGGCAAAGAGCCCAAGAGTGGAGCAAAGGGAGATCATTATCCAGATGTATGGCAAAAAATGGTACCATGACTCCAAAAGGAAGAACACCAAGTGCAACATCTCCAATGCTGCCAGAATCCAGGTCCGATCACACTTCAGAAAGTCAGTGGCTTCTGGAGGGAGACATGCAAACACGAACAGGTAGCTCCTACCGATAAACTTGCCGATTCGGTAGGAGAGAGAGTAGTATAAGAAGTGGTCCCGCGGATGAATATGCGATTTCGGGAAGGCGATTGTTGTCACCACGGACGAGTTAGACATGTACTCAGCAAAGAAACTAACAAATAGAGGGATTATGAAAGGCAGGATTCTTGCGCCGATTCTCAGCTTCTCGCCACATGGTTGTCGTTGGGGGACTGTCGGGGTCTGTTCCGTGTCTGGGTTCGTGGATCCTACCATGGAATATTCTACCGCTTCGTGTTCAGTGGGCTTGGTGTATGCAGCACTCACAATATATTCCTTGTCCAATACTGCATAGAAGACCAAGATGAGCACAGGCAAGGGGATCGTAATCATGATGGCGGTTTTGGGAGAGACGCAACCCCATGTGGTCAGACCTAAAAAAGAAAATAACGATATGTACAAATCATGCGAAGGCCGATTTAGGTGAGGGATGTAGGGGTCCAGACCTTCCCTTCCCTTCCTATAAACCTTTATACTCTGACACCAGTATGCATATTCTCCAAACTGTTCGCTACATGTTTCCACAGAGGTGCTGACAAGGAAAATTTGTTTAAACACGAAGGCGCGCTATATAAGGAACTCTTCCCTGGGAAGACCTAAGCTCATTTGTCACTCACCGTTGACGTGTGCGGGTCAAATTTAAATGCTGGTAGACGAACAAAAGGAGCTAATGAGATATCTATTGTTTACTTCCACCAGCATGGTGGCATGAGGTAACGTGCGAACCACCTACTTCGATCTCAAATTTACCGCCACAAATAAAGACAGTTTCCATTGGAGAAAGGAAATACAAATCTCAAAAATTCTTGTATTGTGATGAAGACATAAAACAATTTTGAGGAATGCGCCCGCTGTTCACTGCTTTGGAGTAGCTGTAGCTCAAGCTGACTTGACTCTAAGAGTTCTACATCACACGACGGTTGATTGAGTAACAATCAAGAGCGTCTTTAGTTGGGGGTTCATTTCCTTTCCCTTCCTTATGCTAATGTCTGAGTTATCCTTCTTTTAAGATTAAAAATGTTTGGTCGGATCGATGAGAATAATTTGTGATCTGAGGCCTCTATCTATACAGATGGGAGGAAAAATCCGAAAAATAAAAAATTGGAAAGAGGAGCAAGAGGAGAAACTAGACAAAAATCGTTTGCTTCACCGATTTAACAATATTAGCCACAAACCATTATTTAATGAATGTTTTAGGATTTGAGCAATTTTGTATTTTTCAAGAAGCTATTCGTTCGGGTCGTCGCGTAAATTCAACGATCGCGAACTCTGAGAAGAGAGGAGTCGAGATTTTTTTTTTTTTTGGTCAGTTTTCAATTCCAAACTTCTGATTCAGAGCGCTCTCCGAATTAGCGTCGTAAATCTAAACCCAATCAAAAGAAAGGAAAACACCTTCCAGAGCCAACGAGAACTGAAAGCAAAAGCAGCCAAATTACCCAAAGCGCGGGAAAACGTGGGCGACAAAATGTCGTGATTGGTTTTAGTTCTGCATCGGTTGATCGAGATAATGGTACGAGTTTTCTGTACCAATCAAAGATCGAACTAATAAAAGCAAAACCATTGCAATCTTGGATCGATTCTGACACTGAATTGGAAACAGCTCTAAATCATAAGGAAATTTAAAGCCCAAATTTTGAGAAAACTGATCATGGTTTGATCGGTATAATTAATCTAAATTTCTCAGGCTTGCTTCCATGTTGAGAGTGTCTTATCACTAGAAGGAAACATTCGCACAATTTAACATTTCTAGGACTAAGCTAAAGACGCTAAGAAAAATTCTCGTGGCTCCCGAGCAGTTTCATTTTATTTTCCAGCAAATATTCAAAGATTTTGAAATCGGTTTATGGCAACATTGCTGGTGTCGTGGATATCAAGAACGGAAAAAACACGCAGGTTTATTACATAAAAAAATAAATAAATATTTAAAAAAGATACCAGCGGGGGAAGAAAAACTTATCAGTAAAGATGAATTATTAGAGCAAATATGATGGATGAATTTTGGTGGCAAAACCCTCGCAATCAATGTCGTAAAAATTATGTGCCAGTCGATCAGTATAAGTTTGATCCTGGTGTCATGAAAAGTGAAAAATTTACATGAATTGTTAGATGTTAGACAAGCCATGAGAATGTCTTAATTGATGATTTTTTTTCAACGTTAATTCTGGATTGAGCTCCCAACGAATTCTCCCGATCCTATGGCATTGCCACGAAATATTTCCAAATCAAGAGGAAAATATATTATGTTTTCTTCAGTTTCCAATACAAGATGGCACACGTCCAGCAAATATGAAAACAGGAAAAATCACTGAACCGTGTCAATCGATTAAAACAGCCGCTTTTAAAAGATATAACCCACAGTTGTGGGCTTACGATTGTTTAGATTTTAAAATCAAGAATTAAACACATTCTGTCACCATGAGGCCTTTTATAATCATGATTAACCACGCGTATTTCCAAAATGGCCAGAAGTAACGACTCTCTTTTTTCAACGTTCAGAGCGTCGTCTTGGTAAATCCGAAATTTTTGAAAATGCAGAAGGTTCGTTGACGAGGAGTACTTTTAAAGGGCAGACAAACGCTGGCACAAAACAAAAACAGCTGAGATTAGCAGATCAGACTTACTCTTTCCTAACTAAAACTACCTAAGCAAAAAATATTATTCGTCTGTGAGAATAAACGAGAAATGCAAAGGTTAAGCCAGAAGGGTTATAAGTGAGCGGGCGTAACGATTGCATGAATGCGCTTACACAAAGACTCTTACCGTGGAAGTAGATTTAAAATAAAACAGCTGTTTCATTGCCCGATTATTTTTTTTTTTTTATTTGTGAAATGAATTATTCCATTTTCGCGTCCCTCGAAACTGAGATAGCAAACATGATAAAAAAAGAATTATTGTCCGTTGAAGATTAATGATTCAAGTTTGTTGATATTAAATGAAATGGCTCTCGCTGATCTAAACGCTTGAAAAATTTAAATTGAACGAGAATGGTTCGTTCATGACTTCCAAATATATTATTCAACGGAAAATATCTGAATGAAACAAAAGCGATCGATAAACTGAGAATATTTCACTTACTTGTGTAATAAAGAGGAGAAATCAACGAAGCCGTACCAGTGCCAGCGACGAACGAACTAATGGCTATCTGTGGATAAAACGAAGTCAAAGCGAGGAATACCACTTCAGAAACACCTGTAGCCATGGCGTTTAAAGCGATTCCCACAAGTTTTGCTCGTATATCTTCCACGAAGACGATTAGAGCCAGTCCGAAAGTCATACATAGAACGATGAACGAAGCTTTCACCAAGTAAGGAATCTTTTGTATAAACCATGGCGCGAATATTTTTGTAACCATCAGTGGGGTTACAAAACACACTAGAATTGTAGCTGTCGGAAGTTTTCGTCCGCTCAGGATATCTTCGGAGGCTGTGTAGAGTAATTCTTGATTGAAAAAACTGAGAGTGCCGAAAATAAAGAAACACAGCGTATTCACCCAGCTCGCGCTTGAAGAGGGATCAGTTTCTCTACTACCAACATTAGGACTGAAATAACAGAATATCTCTTTTATGCGACCCCACATGGTTTAAAACGTTGTTCTTCAAGGCCTTTTCAAGGTCAAACTTGCCAATGCCTTCATTTTCACGGCATCGTCGTGGAAGAAAACACGACCGTTCGGAGAAAGAGTCGCTGACGCGAAAATACTTCTTGTTCTTTTCTCCGCTTAAAGCAAATTGAAGAAAATTTGAATTGCAGATTTTGACGGATGTTCGCCACAAGGAGCTGTAGACAATAGCTGCTCTCAAAACAAAGATCATCTAATTTTAAATTGAAAAGAAAACTTGCGTAGACTCCTTCGATGTTGGCAGACGTTTCCTTGGGGTAAAAGATTAAAAAATTTGACAAAAATTTACAGGAATTACCTTTTCAATAAAATAGCAATAACCGAAGAAAAATCAATGCGCTGTCTGTTATTAATTAACCGGAGGCCCATCATTTTGAGAGGTGACCCTGGCAACTATCACTTTACGTATAAAGGGGCGATTATTTTACGGAACAACATTTTCCACAACATTTTGTACTTTCAATTTTTCCATTCCTGTATTTTAACTCGCGCTTTAAAAAGAATACTATTGTTAGAAAGCGAGGAAAGCTTTTCACGCTTTGGCAGATGGGAATCGCAGTTTTAAATGAGTTATTAAATGAAAAGACAGAAAAGATGTAATTTGAATAACCATAGCATGGCGTGGGCAATCCTGAATAAATTAGAGTTTGTCTCGAAACCCAATCTATCCATATTCAAATGATAAACGCATATCATTGAATTTCTTCGAAGTAAAAAGTTATCATTTATGACAGACAAGGTAGAGTTTCGTGACAATATTTACGGACAGTTCGAGATGCTTTTACAGTTAAAATCTGTCATCATTGTACTCAATTTTCTATTTACACATATGGTAAATAAGACTTAATTCCATTTACCCAAACGGCCATTATTTTTTTTGGCGTGAAAAACACGCTGCATTTCCCCAACTACCGAAATAGGTTGACTGTTTTTCCGGAGAGGTGCGTCACGATCGCCGTTAGCGACAAAAGTGATCGCTTTTGGTCACGTGATTAAAAAGATGTCAGCACAAAAGGCAAACGCACGTGATAACAATCCTTCGAATTTCTTTGCCCGCGCTTTTGCTGTCTTTCGTCGTTTATCCGCTTTCGTTTAGCAATACAACATGACCCACCGTAAAAAATTGTTCAAAACAACAACTTGCCAGTCGGCAGAGTCAAACTCCCGAAAATTCTAATTGCTGAACGGTAGAATGTAAATAGTCTCACAAACTCTGCTTACTGCAACTAATTATCGAAAAAGACACATACATACAAAAAATGATTTCAATTCAATTTTATATCGGAAGCATTCTCGTCTCTAGAGCCCCTAGGTTTTGAAATCCACTGGGCTTTCATTAAACTACCTTTCCAGCCTACTAGGGAAACATTTGATGAATCACTTTACTTGCTGAGTTTGTCTTAACACCCGATAATTTATTTTTATACCTTAATTTATTTGAATAAGAGACTAATAAGTATTGACTTTTGAAAGAAAGTACGTCGCTCAGAGGCAGAAAAAGCTATTCATGCAATTCCGACCAGCGGAAAAAGATGTCTGACATGCGTATTAGATTTTGGTAAAGAGTTAAAGCTGATGTTTCGAGCGTTAGTCCTTCGTCATTTGCTCTGTCGAAGAACTAACGCTCGACATGTCAGCTCTAAAACCACAAATTACCAAGAAGAAACGTCTGCCCTTAGAACAGCAAGTATGAAAAATAACTTGCGTATATTTTCCGCTCCAACGATTTGATCAGTTTCGTCATGGAACGAATTTTATGACAGGCGTCGAAACTGAAGGGTTTCAATAAAAGCCAGTTAATCGGAGGTCTAAGGTCATTTGTAAGGCCGTCGCGTGTTTGAAACTCTTGGAAATTTCTCTTAAATAATAAGTCAGTGGTTTAGAAAACTAGTCAACCAATCACATGGTGCAAAATCAAAACCGGTCACGGCATCGTCATACGCGTCACTTCCCGCGTATTTTCCTGCAGTTCTCATCGGTTCATTCTGTTATTCGCGCCTTTTTTTTTTTAATTGGCTGTCGCAGTTGCGTTATTAATGGTACCTTAGGACCCGTACAAATCTTCTATACTAAATAAGAATGGGCATCGCCGGCTACTGAGCCTATAACAATTGTGGCGGAACAAAGTAACAGCCTCTCGCTCGTCTGTATTTGTTTAAAAGTCTGAATTTAAGCTACGTTCAACGTCTTCTACAAACTGTGCAAGATGGGGTGTCGTCGCATTCTTCAATTCCTCGGGCAAATAAGCGAATAAGATGGCGATGTACCCTGAAAAAAAAGAGATGGAAAAAAGGTCAAAATCACAAGAAGCAAATTCTGGTTGATTGGGAAATTACAGAGTTGGCCCTTAAACTTCCATGAGTGACCAAGACAGAGTTTCCTTTCCTCAATGTCAGTGCATTATAGTTCCCGCAGCGCCTGTGGACAATATGAAGCGAATCCTGTGATATGATTGGCTACCTGAGCGGGCTTGCCCGCTTTGGTCCCGCGTAAGAAAAAAAGTATTCGTGGAGTGGACTTAAAAACTTCGTAACTTTTGAACAATGTCAGCGATGGAGTCACAAAAAAGCAGCAGAAGACAGTCAGAACAAAAAATAAATAAAATACATAGAATAAATAAATAGAAATAAATAAAATAAATAAACGACCCTCTTGGGTTTATTGTGCTAAAAACACTAGTTTTTTTTTTCCCGGCTATCGAAAAAACAAGTTATTCTTGATTCTTATTAAAGCGAATTCTTTATGTAATATAATAAATCCTTTACTGACTATGCTTGTTCGGTCAAGATGGTTGGATATTAGCCTCGTTCTATTTTTGCGTTTTTATGGTCTTCGAGTTTGACTGGATGCCTAACATGAACTCGGCCAATATCCAGTCATCTTGACCTCACACTTGGTCAAAAATGTATTTATATCAAACAGATAAGTGATGGGAATGCATGTATAGAAAAGGTTCGTACTTTATGTGTATGGCAGGATGTGTAACCAACTCTCCATCCACGTTCCAAACGCTCCTGGCGCGGGGTCGTGACGTCACTGATGACGTTTTTGCGGCCAGCCGCTCTTCGTCGTCATCTCTAGTTCCAGTCTCTTCAATGCCGTCGTTTTCGTCACCAGGCTCACTATCCTCACTAAGAGGCCGGAAGTAAAACTCCCGGACGCGATGAATCTCCACAAAATCGAAGTTAAACTATTTGCGAGAGAAGAAAAACCACAAGACTTATCAATAACTGTTGCACGAGATTAAAAAATGAGAAGGGAGCGACAATGAGCGAGTGCGAGCAAAGAGAATTTCAATACTGACCTGATCTGCCTTAGAAGAGATTCTAATCATATGTCTAAGGTATTGTAGGCGAGATGTATGTCGCACAAGAATGAGATCCAAACAGCCATCAGCTAGATGCGCACTGGGAGAGAGGCCTTCCGGACTCTTTGCGCATGCGCACGAAATATTCGCACCAATGACACTGATGAAGGGACCTCTGCGAGATTGCCAACCTAGAAATAAAAATAAAACAGGATCATGGTGAACACCACTCATTCTTTGCTCTGTGCCACACCCAGGACTCACAGCCTTCTTTATTTCGTGACCAAGGCCAACGATTTATGCAATTTAGTCATTGCAAGTTTGTCCCCAATGCGTTCGCTCCTCAAGACGATAATTTCACCCCATCATCCGCCCAGGGAGCAAACTGGTCAAGGGTGGAACTATGGCGTCCCATCAGGGCCAAAATTCAACAATGCGATTTGACATTGTACTTTTAGTATTCTTCCTCATTTCGCGATTGGACATTCAAGTTTTTATTCCTTATGAAACTTTTTCCGATTCAAGGTTATAGCGCTAGCGTGCAACAACATAGTAGATGTGGGCAACCCTCGTACGTGATAAGCAAAGAACAGCTCTCATATTTAATTGAACAAGGTTTTAAATTGCAAGAGATTGCTACTATGCTTGGAGTAAGTTGCAGAACAGTCAAGAGAAAGAATGATGTCATAGTAAGTGTGTCAGGTACATACTATTGTTTAAGCTAGGATATTATGAACACAGTCCAGTAAATACGAGGTATCGTCCAATTTTCATTTCACAAGATAACCTCGTACGAAGTTATGAGGCTTACATGAGGTACTTGACCTTAGTGAGCCTGCGCTCCTTCGTTAATAGCTGGGTTGCAGTTGGATGACGGAAAGTTGAATGTTGAATAGCGCGAAGTACTGCATGTTGAATATATCAATACCATAAGTACAAAAATATTGCATTGCCACAACTACAAAGTGGGATTACGAGAAGTACAATGTTTAATACTTGAAACTTGGAAGTTTAAATGTAAAATAGACAATGTTGAATCGGAAAACGTTTCATAAGGAATAAACACTTGAATGTCCAATCGCGAAATAAGGAAGAATACTAAAAGTACAATGTCAAATCGCAATGTTAAATTTTGGCCCCAATGGGACGCCATATGGAACTTGTTATATTTCGTGTGGCGAGGTGGGAGTTCGAGGTAAGGCCGAACTTTACAGGATGAACATGTAATACAGTGCAACCTCCAGATACCAGCCCATCATTAAACAACCCTCTTTTTCGGTCGCAAAGCACGCTCTCAATAAATACTGAGCTTGACCTCATACGAACCTAGATTATGACCTTGCTCATTGACGAGTTCTCTGGAACTTATTGCTAAAACATTCGCCTTCAAAACTCTGGAGGTTTGAAGTTAGCAATCTAACCTATACTAACCAACCAACCAACCTGTTGTGGACTGTTGAGGGTCACGTTGCTGGCCTGAGTCACAAAAATCATTACAAACATTGCAGCTACAGAAAAAAGAGTACACGAATTAGGAAAAAAATGTCAGTTGCAAGAAATAAACGCTCTTGAAATAAAAACAAAGAACCGAAAGTTTTCTAATCTAACAAGATAACTGTCTAATTTTCTATTTGGAACTCAACGTTGTTTATATATGTTATGCTAAAGTTGAGGTGTGGCGCCGTAAGAGACAGTAAACGCCTGCAGCCATTTTCGAAATTCTAATTAAAAGTAGAAATTTATTTTTTAATCGACGTCTTCCTTAGCGTTGCCTTCCTGATTGCTTAAGGTCCCTAAGTCCCTAATAATGAGGACCCTCTCGTAGGCGATTTGAAATACTTTTGTTCTGAGTAGGCGCTGTATCTCTCTTTGTACGCTTTTGTTAACGCTACCCGGCATTGGACAACATAAAACATATATCCATAAAGCAAAAAAGTAGTGCGAGGCAAGTTTTGTTTTCAGATTAGATCAGAACAAGACACAAGCCGCCGCACATCGACTCATGAGCGAATTAGAGCTCACTTACCCAGACCGACATCTTGTTCTGTCTCGTGGCGCATTCTCTCCAGTTTGAGCTGGTAGAAAAGTAACTGTACCATCATAGCCCCTGCGCAGAGGAAAATTGAATTATAAAAATTTACAGCTACGTGCAATTTATGGACAAATTATCAATTGAGATTTGAAAGGAATCCCGTGAAGGATTGGATTGGTTTGTCTCACTCCGTTCTGTAATTGGTCCAGAAAACATTCGCTACCCTCTGTGTTTGTGATTGGTCTAGAAAATTCCGCGCCATCCTCTCAACCAATCAGGTGCAAAGCTAAAACCAAGTGCATCGCCGGCATCTGCGTTTTCCCGCGCTTGACTTGTGATATTTTCACGCCCTAACAGGTTCTTATTTTGAGTTCTCATTAGTTCCTTGTTCCCAGCTGCTTTTAGCTTTGCATCTGATTGTTTGAGAAGGTGACATGAAAAAATTAAAAATTAAACATTGCTAAACCATCATGACTGTGGCAATGGAGACGTTGCTACACTTGAAAGAAAAAAAAAAAGCGAACATTCCGATCAAATGAAAACTTAACCAGGGTGTCTTAAACACTTTTTAGGGAAATTCATCTTAATTACCGGTTTGACATGAATTTTTTAAAGCCAGAAACGTCATAGCGTTTAGGACCCATCCAGCGAAGTTTCTCGCTATCTTGCATGACGTCACCAAAGAATCCATAGGCTGCCATGGCAACATTGTAACGTAATACTTCATTCTTTCGCTTGACCGAGCAGACATCAAGCGGCTGATTGTCACCTGAATAAAGAAATAGCAAATCACTTTGTCAGTTAATTAGACAGAGTTGCGGCGG